CTAGGATCCTATCATCCTAGAGTCATTGGCTTGCATATTATCCGGATATTTTAGTTTCAATGAATAATTAATGATAGATCTAATAATTCAAATTTATAATTAACTAATTAGAATAATTGCATTCTAAAAATGAATGTTCAAAAATGAGTATTCTAAAATTACAAAAATAATTATACTAACTAGCTATTTACTCTTCATCTTATTCCTGTGCAGAACTCATTAATATGTCTCCTTAATTTCTGTATTTCCCCCACACGATATTGCTTTCCGCACTTTGGGCACACAAGATTCGGGTCATAAGGTAATGAATTATCATCGTCGTCATTAAACAGAACCTCAGCTGTACTTGGACCTTGCATTTCTTTGCGACGCTGTTTGGCCATTAGCCGTATTTCCTCCTCATCTTTATCAGTCTCTTCATCAGACTCATCTGAATCCTCATTAGAACATGAAGCATTAATGTGTCTTCTTAGTTTTTGAATTTGACCTTCACGGTACTGTTTACGACACTTAGGGCAGACCAGGTTAGGATCCAGAGGCCTGCCTTTATCATCATCTTTGTCAGCTGCCTTTGGTAATTCCTGTAAGAAAGGAGTCTTCTGCCTAAGCTGATCTATTTCTTCCAATTCTTTGTCAATTTTAATCTTTTCCTTTTCTGCCTCATGTTTATCATAGTCTGACTCCATTTCATAGTATTCTGGTTGTCCTGGTTTCTTGAAGAGTGCTGCCATTTCTTCTGCTGTAAATTGTGGCTTCTCATTTATAAGATCAGAATAGGCACGATTAGAGTGCTCCATTTCATCACCTCCCTTGGCACCAGGACCACTGCTTGCTTGAGCTGACATCTGATAATAATTACCGCCTGGTACATCATTATGACGCGATGAGATATGAGCTTGACTAGAAGCAGTGGAGGCATCGTGGCCTTTCAATTTATTCATTAGTACCTACAAAAAATGCACAAAAGTATTCCCTAAAGCTACTTACTTGATTAGCTTTCTTCAGTTTTTCATTTAGATCCTCTAGTCTAGTAACCATTGCTCGCTCCTCATGATATGCTGTCAGTAATTGTTTATTATTAGCCAATATATTAGTGAACTGTTGTCTTATCCTAGTCAGTTCATTATCCTACAGTAAATAAGTTCATTAAATGCACACACACACACACACACACACACACACAATATCTGAATATTACCAGTTGTTGATTCGTCCTAGATAAATTATCAAACTGTTGTCTCATCTTAGCTAGCTCACTAGCCTACAGTATTAACCATAGTTACAAAAATACACACAGATGTGTTTTATATATTACCAATTCTTGCTTAAACTTTATTTCTTCATTAAGCTTCTGATTCAACTCACTGACCTATAATAATACATGTATAAGTACATGATAATAATGTAAATATGAAATGTAATAAACAATGCTCCTTATTATTGTACTGTGTACAGGGTATTTTGTCAACAATGACTAAAAAAACTCTTCATTTTTATAATTTCTTCTGATACATAATATATTTTTTGAAGTTGTCCCAAAATTTGGTCAAAGTCTCTGAGGACTTTGGCTGAATTTCCCCAAAAATGGCTAGGAGAGAAATTTCTATTTTTCCTGATATGTATACATGTTCTTCAAGTTTGACTGATTCCAATCAAAATAAGTTTTATTTGGTCCAAATTACAGTGACTCACACATGTGGTAATATGTAAAGTGTATGTGTATACCTCAGTTTTATGTTTCTCTTGACTCTGAATTAAGAGACCTTTTTGTTTGTCCACCTCCCGACAGTAAGCATTGACTTGAGCAGTAAGTATTTGAATTTCTTCGTCTTGATTCCAATCATTTTTACGACTGTAAGTATTAAGCTGTGTTTTCAGAATTCTTATCTCTTCATCTTGAGCCTTTATTACCTATCATGTACATATAACTGAATTGTTACACTCATAAAGTAATATTAATACCTCCCCTAGGTTGGCCACTGCTTCTTTATTAACTTTATTTTGTTTCCTTGCTTGTTCAGTTTTGGTTTTCAGTTCCTCATATTCAGCATGTATTCTTTCTCTATCATTCCTTTCTGATTCAAAGTCTTGTTTATAAATTGCCAACTAATAATTAATAATGATTAAAATTATAATTATCAGACAAACCTCTGCTTCCCTTAATTGTATTTTCTCAACTAATTTTTTCATTTGTCCTTCTTGTGTTTTAGTTTTTTTTACAAGCTCGTCAACTTGTCCCTTTAATTGCTTTATGGTCTGTTCCTTTTCTTCTGGTGCCAAATGAGTTGTTGAGGTTTTTTCTTCTGTTAACCTCACAATCTCTTGCTTCTTTTCTTCCAACAAGTCATTTAAATCTTCAATTTCTACCATTTTATTACTCAGTTCAACACTTAATTCTTCAACTGTTTTCTTTGTGCTAGCCATTTCCTAAAAGCAAAATCATAATAAGCTAACATAATAATTACTTCTTCAAGGTGCTTTAGTGTATCTTTCAATTTTTCTGATTCTTTGTTTAGTGCCTTCATTAGTAGTTATAATGATGACACACAAGTTAGATTAATTACTTTGCAATATTCAAGGTCCCCTGTTAAATTTTGAATAGTTTTATCTCTATCCTAATAAATTATAATAGTAACCATTTCATAAAACATCAGTGAAAATTATATTACACGTCCAATTCATTTTAAATTAAGTGTTTGATACACAGGATTTTTTCTGGGTTAAAAACTGGTAAAATCATAGAATGATATTGGATTTTGATCAAAATTGGGGAGTAGTTTTGGGGCGAGGAATTTCAGCATACACAACTCACTTTTAATTGGACTTCAGCTACCCTCAAATCATTTTGAAGTGTTTCTTGGGCTTTCACTAGTAGCCTTTTGCCATCTTCTACTTTAGCAATTTGATCCTCAAGCTCTCTGACTTTAGTACCTTGATCTGATGGACTATTATTATCACCACCACCAGCCTACATGATACATTATAAAATGCATGGATTTTCATTCAAAACATCTTACATAAGCTGCCAATTGCTTCTCTAGCTCCTTGATTACTGAAGATTGATACATTGATTCTGTTTTCTTTTCCGCCAGAGCTTCATGGTACTCTAGAATCTGTTTATCCTTATTCTCACAGTCTTTTTTATATCGATCCCTTTGTAACGTAACCCTAACTAGCTCCTGTAATAGGTCAAATCATAAAAGCGTTACTTTTTTATACACAAAGAAAATAATATGATCTGGCTAACTAAGGGCCCAGGATTCTCATACATAATTAAACAAATCCACTTATAATAAATAAATTGAATTTAAAAATTTACAAAGAGGGGCTGATCTGGGGCTCACCACTCGTTGGTATACTTATTACCTTTTGATCTAATTCTTTAGTTGGTGTACTATGAGACGCATTTCTTGTAC